CCAACCAAAGTTTCCTCCGTTCTCCTCTTGGAATTCGACACATACGAAATCCCTTTTTTGCAGAATTCGTACAATAATCCGCACAGCAACTCGTCATTTCAAAACATTCTAGACACATAACACATGTTCAAATATGTTTTCATAATAGTACTTTTAGGTTAGATTGCGTATAAAATTATGTTCTTATATATGTATATATTTTTAAATGCATTTTATTCTACTTTAATAAAAATTCTGACATAACAATTTCACTGCACTTCTTACGTAAAAATGTCATAAATAAATAAATTACTTACATCTCTCAGCAAACAACTTTCAATTGCGTTATAATAAAAACGAACGATATACATGTGTTACTATATTCACCATACAATATTTCCGCTTTCACAACAACATGGCGGAGCCAATCACATTTTGATCGGCGGTGTCTGATCTCTACCTTGAGGATCTCTAGGTCAACCTTTTTAGCAAGGTTGCCTTCCTCGCGGGACCCTTGGACTGGTAGATTTCCTCCAATCTCACCCACATGTCGTGTGATGTGACGCAGCTTTTAACCTGCTTGAGTTCGCTTGGGCTGATGCTCAAAATGATGTCTGACCGCGCTTTTTGGTCGTTGCGTTCCCACGCCGCCACGTCAGCCGCATTGTTTGTGCTCAGCGCGGGCTTTGTTGTCGCCCCGCTGGCGTATTCCCACAGGTCAGCTTTTGTGAGGATCGCCTGCACTTGCAGCTTCCAAGTGTCGAAGTTGTCCTTACCGAGAGGCTCGATCCTGGTCACACTCGTAGCGGCCATAACGACGATTCACGACACGCGACACGCGCGTTCACGTCCGACAGAAGAGAGAGTCACTTTCTGTTACTTTCGCGGGTCTGGGCCTATAACCTGTTAGAGTTAAGGATTGTCGCGACTCGGAGAGCCGATTAAACAAGACCAAGCTTGAAGTAAATACGTATATTGTATGTTTAAAAAAGTACAGAAGAGATATCACGTCATGCGACTTTTAATTTGATATTTGGTGTGATGGTTAAGGGGTCGCGCGCGCGATATTGCGTGAACGGGGTGAGCGTCAGCCACCCGTTTTCGCAGATCGAACGTGCTGTAAGAATTGACGATGGCGAGTGGAGCGTGCAGGAACATGCGAAAAGGGAAGGAAACGAATGCAAGAAATGGAATACAAAAATATGTTTATTTGCTAACAATTTTTCTTAAAAAGTTAC